GGGCCGCGGGGTTGGTCGGTGCCCGCAGTGCGCGCTCAGGGTGCTGAGATCTGCCGCAGTCGCTCGCAGGGGTGGCGGGGTGGGGTGCCGAGCCGGAACGCCCCGCTGCATGCTGGCACTGTGACCTGGTCTGTTCTCTCCTCTCCTCCTGGCCTCCCCGCCCCGTCCGCCCGCCTGCTCGCCTCTGCATGGCAGAAGTCCTCCAGCTCTGCGTCCTCAGAGGCCTCGGAAACCTGCCAGTCCGTTAGCGAGTGCAGCTCCCCCACCTCGGTCAGTGCTCCCCACTTGCAGTGGGACGCAGGGAGGGTGCAGGGTCAACCAGAGGGGGGTGCACACAGTGCCCACTCCCCACAGGAAAAGCCGCCTGGGCACGCCTGCAGCCACTCCCAACACACATCTTTCCCTCCTGGGATATGGCCATCCTACCCCTGGGCCTGGAGGGACTGAGGGGTCATGGCACCCTCCACGCTCTGCCCTTGGTCATGATCATGAGCCTGAGGCCCCCTTCTGGGCCTGAAAACCCTGAACCTCAACTATAGTGAGGGAATCCTTCACTGAGGACGGCAGGGCCAAGGGCCCCCTGACCCGTCTGCCACACCCTGCAGGACTGGGCCAAGGCGGGTCCCCACGAACAGCCCTCGGGCACCAGCCTACAGCGGAGGAAGGACCGAGCGGAGCACCCACGAGACACGGAGCCAGGCCTGGCCAGCGGGGGCACCCTGGGCCCCAGCGGAGAGGAGGCACCGCGACCCCGCATGTCCCCTGCCACCATCGCAGCGAAGGTAGGCGCCGGCTCCCCTGGCAGCCCAGCCAGGACTCCATCTTCACTGCCAGGCCAGGTTCCCCTGGCGGGAGCCACCTGCAATTCAAGGGCGGGGAGTGGGGGGCGGGGGGGGGCGGGGAGCCAGGCTTCAGCCTGCAGTCTTACCACCCCCAGCACGGTGAGGAGGTGTCCCCCGCGGCCAGTGACCTGGCCATGGTGCTGACCCGCGGCCTGAGCCTGGAGCACCAGAAGAGCAGCCGGGACTCGCTGCAGTACTCCAGCGGCTACAGCACGCAGACCACCACGCCCTCGTGCTCCGAGGACACCATCCCCTCCCAAGGTAGGCCCTGGGGCCGGGGCTGGGTCACCGGGCCTTCACAGCCCCGGCCCCGGCCCACTGCATCCCGTGCCCCCAGGCTCCGACTACGACTGCTACTCGGTGAACGGGGACGCGGACGGCGAGGGCCCGGCCGAGTTCGACAAGTCCTCCACCATCCCCCGCAACAGCAACATCGCCCAGAACTACCGCCGCCTGATCCAGACCAAGCGCCCGGCCTCCACCGCGGGGCTGCCCAGCGCCTCGGGCGCGCCCCCGGGCGTGGCCACCATCCGCCGCACACCGTCCACCAAGCCCGCCGTGCGCCGCGCGCTCTCCAGCGCCGGCCCCATCCCCATCCGGCCGCCCATCGTGCCGGTGAAGACGCCCACGGTGCCCGACTCCCCCGGCTACGCGGGGCCCACGCGGGCGGGCAGCGAGGAGTGCGTCTTCTACAGTGACGAGGCCGCCTCGCCCCTGGCACAGGACCTGGCCAAGGCCTCCCCGAAGAGGCTGAGCCTACCCAACACGGCCTGGGCCAGCCCGGCCCCCGAGGCAGCCGGCTACGCAGGGCTGGCGGCGGACGACGAAGACCAGCAGCAGCAGCTGGCCGCCAACCGGCACAGCCTGGTGGAGAAGCTCGGGGAGCTGGTGGCGGGCGCCCACGCCCTGGGCGAGGGCCAGTTCCCTTTCCCCACCGGCCTGGCCGCCGCTGCCGCCCCCACCGAGACGCCCAGCCCACCCCCTGCCGCCTCGGGCGAGCCCCCGGCCGAAGACATGCTGGTGGCCATCCGCCGCGGGGTGCGGCTCCGGAGGACCGTCACCAACGACAGGTCAGCGCCCCGCATCTTGTGATGGCGCCCCCCTCCCCTGTGGCCCCCGCGAGAGGCAGGTGGCCTGGCAGGTGACCCGCAGCCACTCAGAGCCAAGGCACAGCGAGGAGACAGCAGACAGGCAAGCTTTCGGATTTTTTGTTTAAGTCACGTGGGATGGAAAGACACTCATCTTGGATTGCATCATTTAAATGGGAAGTGACTTGTTTAACAAAGCTCACCAGCTCTGAGCCTGCAGGTCTTGAACTGGGTTTGGAGCCTGTTTTATATGTTTCTTGCCTGTTCTGCTCCTCCTCTTCCTCTTCCACAGGCCCTGCCCTCCCCCCCACCCCCACCCC